TTCTGAGCTCCTTGAATAATACTATAAACAGCAGCAGCAATATCTATCTTTTTTTTTTTTGAGTGCGCACCACGTGCCAAGAGCAGTTCAAAGCCCTTCTCATGAATTATAGAACTTAATCCTCTCAATATCCTAAGGGTGAGGGATTTTAGGCACATTTTATTGATAATGAAATGGAATCACAGAGAAGTTCACAACTTGCTCAAGGTGTATTTTATCTTCATCTTTTCTATCCCCAACACTTAGCATGTTACCTGATATAACAGAAGCTCCGTAGCAACTTAAAGAATGCATAGATGAATTAATGAATGAAACAGTCTCCTCCATAGCAGCATCTGGGTCAGGGATGGTGACCCATCTGTCACACCCAGAGTCCTGTGATACCTCATAAAAGTGGTTTAAGTCTTTGGAAAATCCCTCCCCAGCTATGGCCCTTTTAAGCTAGCCAGGCATTTCACAGGGGTTAATCTGTTCCAGGTATTCTGTTTTTATTATTAATAACATGAATTACACCTTCCAGATTAGCTTTATGAGGGGTTCACTCAATCCAGCCAAGAGTCCTGACACTACCAGATAAATACCATTGACCAGCCACATACAACAATAAAAATATCGGTGAGATACAATAATATTATTTTTCCATCTTAGGACACACCACACTGAAAACCCTCCCAAACACTGTGTTCCTTATGAGCACTACATACAGCGCTGCTGAGAGGTGTAGAGTGGAGAGGATGCCCCCTGGTCCAAAAGTGTGGACACTTTCATCCTATGAAGGAATCAGTGAAGGGTAAACCATAATAAAATTTTTTAACATCTTTATTGGAGTATAATTGCTTTACAATGGTGTGTTAGTTGCTGCTGTATACAAAGTGAATCAGCTATACATATATATATATCCCCATATCCCCTCCCTCCTGCGTCTCCCTCCCACCCTCCCTATCCCACCCCTCTAGGTGGTCACAAAGCACCGAGCTGATCTCCCTGTGCTATGCAGCTGCTTTCCACTAGCTAGCTATTTTACATTTGGTAGTGTGTATATGTCAATGCCATTCTCTCACTTTGTCCCAGCTTACCCTTCCCCCTGCCCGTGTCCTCAAGTCCATTCTCTACGTCTGTGTCTTTATTCCTGTCCTGCCCCTAGGTTCTTCAGAACCTTTTTTTTTTTTAGATTCCATATATATGTGTTAGCATACGGTATTTGTTTTTCTCTTTCTGACTTACTTCACTCTGTATGACAGACTCTAGGTCCATCCACCTCACTACAAATAACTCAATTTCGTTGCTTTTTATGGCTGAGTAATATTCCATTGTATATATGTGCCACATCTTTATCCATTCATCTGTCTATGGACACTTAGGTTGCTTCCATGTCCTAGCTATTGTAAATAGAGCTGCAATGAACATTGTGGTACATGACTCTTTTTGAATTATGGTTTTCTCAGGGTATATGCCCAGTAGTGTGATTGCTGGGTCATATGGTAATTCTCTTTTTAGTTTTCTAAGGAACCTCCATACCGTTCTCCATAGTGGTTGTAACAATTTACATTCCCACCAACAGTTCAAGAGGGTTCCCCTTTCTCCACACCCTCTCCAGCATTTATTGTTTGTAGATTTTTTGATGATGGCCATTCTGACCAGTGTGAGGTGATACCTCATTGTAGTTTTGATTTGCATTTCTCTGATGATTAATGATGTTGAGCATCCTTTCATGTGTTTGTTGGCAATCTGTATATCTTCTTTGGAGAAATGTCTATTTAGGTCTTCTGCCCATTTTTGGATTGGTTTGTTTGTTTTTTTGATATTGAGCTGCATGAGATGCTTGTATATTTCGGAGATTAATCCTTTATCAGTTGCTTCATTTGCAAATATTTTCTCTCATTCTGAGGGTTGTCTTTTCATCTTATTTATAAACCATAATAATTTGATTCTTGACTGACACAGGTTCAGCATTTTTAACTGCTTAGCCTACAAGAAACTGTAAGTAAACACCAGTATAAATCCTTATGTCAGAGTAGATGGAGATCTTAAAGTATCCCATGTCCAGGATTGATAGTCAATGGGTATAAAGGGAAAAAAGAGGAAATGCTTTCTGTTAAAGAGCAAAGAACTCCAATGCCTTTTGACTCTGTTAAAATTCTGGAAAGTGTTGAACATAAAACAAATGTTTAAGAGAGAGTTAAGCTTATGCTAAAGTAAACACTACTTCAAGGGCTGTAGACTCATTGGGCGAGGCAGGGTAGAGCCAGGCAGACCTCACTTTGAATCCCAGCTCTGTCATGTTGGTGGTTGGAAAGTTACTTAACCTCTTTTAGCATCAGTTCTTTACCTGTAAAATGGGTATAATTATACCAACTTAGAAGGTTGTTGGAGAGATTAAATGAGATGATGGGTAGAAGAGGCCTAGCTCATAACGGGTGGCTACTAAAGGGTATATGTTTTAATTGTTATAAAAATGATCTCAAGGGCATGCGTGCACACACACACACACACACCCTCATTTCACAGAGAAATCTTCGAGGTCAAAGGATGGGTCTTAACAGCAACACCAGAACTAGAATCTCTACCCTCCTCCATTCTGTCCTTCATTCTGGCCACTGAATTCTTTCATAAAGGAGAAGGCCAAAGAATGAACAATAGAGAAATACGGAATTAATAAATAAATGCATGAATAAGCTCAGATGTCTCATGGCATCACCAGTGTTATAGATTTAGTTTGATAGCTCATCCCAAAAGCATTTCTCTATTGGGTAGTAATTAGATGTAAAGCCATGCAGAGGCTACACATGGATGCAAAGATAATAAGATATGATCCCTTTCCTCAAGATCTCATTGTCTAAGGAAAGAAAATTCAGGCACAAGTCCAGTTCAATTCAGACCACCTTTTAGGTTATTACATGTATTGCAACTAAATAAAAAGGATCTCACCACATATCACCACAACATGTATAATAAGTTCCTTACTGAAAATTACTCCCGAATTAGACAGATTGGTAGCATTTTACCATGAAAGGAGAAAAAAAAAAAAAAAAAGACAAGGCCATCTAAGAAAGAGTGATATGAAACACTGCCCCTTGACCTTTAGAATTGTAAGGTTTTATTTTATTTATTTATTTATTTATTTATTTATTTATTTATTGGCGCTACGCGGGCCTCTCACTCTTGTGGCCTCTCGCGTTGCGGAGCACAGGCTCCGGACGCGCAGGCTCAGCGGCCATGGCTCACGGGCCCAGCCGCTCCGCGGCATGTGGGATTTTCCCGGACTGGGGCACGAACCCGTGTCCCCTGCATCGGCAGGCGGACTCTCAACCACTGCGCCACCAGGGAAGCCCAGATTTTATTTTTTAATAAAAACTGTAGGATATAGGTATGAAACCATATGTATTCCAGGAAAAAAAATGTATATTTCTATTAATCTAAGAGTCAAGTCAGATTATAGAAACTAATTTAAAAGACTACAACTACTATGAAGGGGCCAGATCATAAGCAGCCTCAGAATTCCCCTCCCCTATCAGTGTGGCTGGAAATAGATAAATAAATAAGCCAGCCCAGACTTGTGAATCCTACAGAATCCTAATTTGTAGTAGCCATTAGAATTTTTTTTTAGCCATTAGAATTTAATGCTGGTGGGACTTCCCTGGTGGTGCAGTGGTTAAGAATCCGCCTGCCTATGCAGGGAACACAGGTTCAATCCCTGGTCCGGGAAGATCCCACATGCCACAGGGCAACTAAGCCCGGGTGCCACAACTACTGGAGCACACATGCCACAACTACTGAAGCCCGTGCGCCTAGAGCCCATGCTCTGCCACGAGATAAGCCACCGCAATGAGAAGCCGGCACACCACAACAAAGAGTAACCCCCCCTCGCTGCAACTAGAGAAAGCCCGTGCATAGCAACAGATACCCAACGCAGCCAAAAATATAATTAATTAACTTTTAAAAGAAAAGAATTCAATGCTGGTAATCCCAGAGCCAGAAGGAATTGTGAAAGCTGTCTTTTCCATCCCTCTGTCTTCCAAACTTTAGAACCCACAGAAAGATGGGACTCTCCCTTGCCTCCATAAACGTCACCGCCCCCCACCACTACTCCTCGTGGCTCAGGAGGGCATGTAGATTGGAGGCCGCCATCCTGCCTCACCTCCAAGGTGAAGCCCATCTGCTGGGCTCTAAACCACTTCCCTTCCCTCTTCCCAGGACTCGGTCCTCTCCACCTTTTGCTCACTTCTCAAGCCTCCTGTTTCTCTTCCTCCTGTCATGCCACCTTAGATGACTCCCTGTCTCCCACATCCATTCCCAGCCTCACATCACCCCTGCCAAGGTCGCCCCACCCCTTCCTCTGCCTTGTTTCTGTAGGCGGGGGCCCAAAGTTCTCTGCCTCCATTTTTTATGCACTTTTTTCCTTAATATCCAAGGCATGGAAGGGCTTTAGTACAGTGCCTGACACACAGTAAGTGTTCAAAAATAGCAACCTTGATTATCCCTGTTACTGTTATCCTTATTATTTCATCCTCACAAATCCACCAAAGCCTCTTTCAAGTCACTAACACCCTACCCATCCCACAGCTGGTGCCCTTTTCTCTGCTCCATTCTCATCCACCTGTGACAGGTTCATACATCCCTGCTCCTTTAAAATTCTCTCTTTCTTTGGTTTCTGGGCCACCCTCTTACCCCAGCATCTCACACAGATTTAAAAGTTAATCAGCATATATAAGTGGCCTCGAATCTGAAAATCCAAAGCCCTTTGCCGGCTGCTGCCTCTGGCCACCACGTGCAAAAGCAGGTGATACAAAACACAGCCTGCTCCTACGTTGTACATGTGACCCCTCTTCCCCCACATTGTCACGGGTCTCCACTCAAGTGTCACCTCCCAGAGAGGACCTCCCTGACCATCAGTAGCATCTCAACCAACGGCAAAGCTCAGTGAGCCAGAAAGACAAAACCAATGTCACACTCTCCCCCCGACCCAAGGTGATTCTACTGTGGACTCACTCCTTGCTCACCTGAATCAATGTCTCCAGCTCCTGTGGGCTCACACAGACATGATCCCGCAGGAATTCTGCCTTCTCCATGGCAATAGTGTTCTTTTGGCTGCTCTCAAAGGGCTGTTCCAATGCCCGGAAGACGAGACCGCCCGTGACGAGGTAGACCACCACGACCACGAAGATGGCAACCACTGTTTTACACTTCATGACGGTCTGCAGGGCCCCCTGGGAGGCACCTTCCATTCTGGCTACCACCGTGGCTCGGGAGGAGATGGAGAGGCGTGGGGCCGCGTAATGCCCGTTAGTGGTGCCCTTGGGCTGGCACACCGGGGGCGCTGCTGCAGGAACGGCCACTGAGAAACGGGGTGGGTGAGAGGGGAAAAGAGAATTTGTTTATAAACACAAAGCCCAAAACTTGTCGGAAACAAAGCACAGGTGTCTTTCTCAAGCCAGCTTTCAAACGTGAGTATTAAAGATTGGTTCACCAAGCCTGCAGTGAGGGAATTCAAGCAGTTGCTAGGTGTCTGTTGAATTCTAAAACAGTGAGCACCAGGTGTTCTAGTTTTCACACACAAAAAATAATATTAATTGAGTCTGAAATGTTTATATTTCTCTACAAGGGTCCAAATTTGAAAGCCATGTCTCTGTTATTTCTCATTCATTTTCTCCCTTAGTTTCCTTGTTAAGTGATGTGTAAGACACACAACAAACCATGATATTTTAAAAAGAGACATATTGTGCAATTTGAAGAAGAAAAGGTAGGAGAAGGATACCCAGCAGAATTGTCCAAGTGCTGAGGGCTAGGTAATACCAAGAGTATAGAAGAGATGAGCATCTAGCAAGTTTAAAAGTTCTTTATCCAGGTCTATGGTCACAAAACAAAAGAAGGGTGAGTTTGCTATAATGAAGAGTCAAAAACCAAACACAGTGACACTCAGATCAAGATAGACAGGCAGGAGGACATAGAATTCACCTCCCCCCACAAACACATCAAAAATACATCTACAGGTTGAGACCTGTGTCCTTGGGAGGGGACTCAGAGGAGAAGGGAGATTTCATGGGTGGAGACACTCCCTGGGAAGTGAGTGGTTCAAGCCACATATTGGGTGCCCCAACCCTGGGGTCCTACATAAGGAAGACGACCCCCTGGAGAGCTGGTGGGACTAACAGGAGGGTTGTGGAAAGCCTGGACTCCACTCAGGAGGAGCGTGCTTGTGCTGGCTTGCTCCTGAAGCAGGGACGAGAGGGCAAATTGAAATCAAGCAGGTGGCTGGCTGGTTTCCCATGACTTCCCCAGTGTATACACCAGCCTGATCCAAGTGAACATTCCAGCCTTGCTTGCCTCCCATCACAGCTCCACACTGGAATAAGCTGCCATGAGCAAGGAGAGACCTTAGTCGTGAGACACTGAGGTAGCTCAAACCTGAAGCAACATCTGAGAAGGGCAGAGGCAGCCGTTGCTTCACTTATACAAGTGGCACATCAGAGGCAGTCCAGATCTCTGATGGTGGCTGGACCGCCATGGACTGTAACCCAGCCCTCACTGAGTGCCTGTGCTAGCTCCTCTTGCTCCAGTACTGTTCTACTCTGGAGTGAGGGTGCCAGTGCTGGGAGGGGGAGAGCACATACATGAAGGGAACTGAGCCGGTTTGGAAGCCCAACTCTCACGGCTTCTGCTCTAGCAACTTGGAACCTGACCCTGCTCCCCCACAGGGTGATGATGGACACTTAGCACAGAAGCTTCAGCTTACACCTGCTCCAGCCCTAGTCTCTCCATCTCCATCGCCACCTCCTACCAAGATAATAGCTGTCAGCACAACCTGAGGAAAGATATGGCTTGTGTTCACATCAAATCCAGCTCTCCCACCAAAGCCACTGGCAGACTCAGACTGTAAAGGAATGCTCCAACATAAGGAGCAATGGGTAACTTTTACCTAATTTCATAGAAACAGAGAAAGATAAGGAAAATGAGAAGACAGAGGAATTTTCTCAATTGAAAAAGCAAGAGAAAACCCCTGAAAAAATAATTAATGAAATCAAAATAAACAAGTTACCAAATGAAGAATTCAAAGCATTAGTAATAAGAATACTAACTGAATTAGGTAAAAGAATAGATGAGAATTTTAACAAGGAACTAAAAAATGTAAAATAAAGAACCAGTCAGAACCAAAGAATACGATAACTGAAATGAAAAACACACTAGAAGGAATTAACAGCAGATGAGGTGACACAGAAGAACATAGAAGGGATCTGGAAGATAGAATAACAGAAATCACCCAATCAGAACAGCAAAAAGTAAAATAAATTTAAAAATTAGAACAGTTTAAGAGATCTCTAGGATAACATCAAATGTACCAACATTCACATCATAGGGGGCCCAGAAGGAGAGAGAAGGGGGTTGAAGATATATTTTATGAAATTATGACTGAAATCTTCCCAAATCTGAAGAAGGAAACAGATATCCAACTCCAGGAAGAACAGAGAGAGTCTCAAACAAGATGAACCCAAACAGATCCACACCAAAAGGTAGAGAGAATTCTAAAGGCAGCAAGAGAAAAACAAAGAGTCATATACAAGGTATCCCCCAGATGGCTATCAGCTGATTTTTCTGCAGAAACTTTGCAAAAGCCAGAAGGGGTATCATGATATATTTAAAGTGCTGAAAGGGAAAAATCTGCAACCTAGAACACTCTATCCAGTAAGATTATCAATTAGAATTGAAGGAGAGATAAAGAACTTCCCAGATAAGCAAAAACTAAAAGAGTTCATCAATACTAAACCAGCCCTAAAAGAAATGTTAAAGGGTCTTCTCTAAGTGGAAAAGAAAAGGCTACAAGAAGAAGTATCTATAGGAAAGGAAAAATCCCACTAGTAAAGGAAAATATACAGTAAAGGCTGAGGATAAACTGCTTAAATAAGCTAGTACAAAGATTAAAAGACAAAAAAGTTGTAAAATCAAGTATAACTACAATAATCAGTAAAGGGATAAACATGAAGATGAAAAATATTACATCAAAAATAAAATATGTGGGAGAAGTAAAAATTGTATATCTTTTAGAATGTGTTCGAACTTGAAGAACTACCTGTTTAAAACAAATAGATGGGCTTCCCTGGTGGCGCAGTGGTTGAGAGCCCGCCTCCCGATGCAGGGGACACGGGTTCGTGCCCCGGTCCGGGAAGATCCCACATGCTGCGGAGCGGCTGGGCCTGTGAGCCATGGCCGCTGAGCCTGCGTGTCTGGAGCCTGTGCTCCACAACGGGAGAGGCCACAACAGTGACAGACCCGCATACCGCAAAAAAACAAACAAACAAACAAAAACAAATAGATACAGGTCAACACATATGAACCCCATGGTAACCACAAGTGAAAACCTACAACAGATACACAAAAACAAGAGAGAAAGGAACAAGCATACCACTAAAGAAAATCATCAAATAAGTGAAGGAACTAAAAGAAGAAGAAAAGAACAAGGAAGAACTATAAATACAACCAGAAAACAAATAACAAAATGACAATAAGTACACACCTATCAATAATTACTTTAAATGTCAATGAACTAACTGTTCCAATCAAGACATAGAGTGGCTGATTGGATAAGAAAACAAGACTTACCTATATGCTGCTTACAAAGAGACTCACTTCAGAACTAAATACACACACAAACTGAAAGTGAGGGCATGGAAAAAGATATTTCACGCTAATGGCAATGACAAGAAAGCAGAGGTAGCAATACTCACATCAGACAAAATAGACTTTAAAAGTCTGTAACAAAAGACAGAGAAGGGCATTATATATTGATAAAAGGATCAATACAAGAAGAGGATATTACATTCATTAACATATATGCACCCAATACAAGAGTACCTAAATATATAAAGCAAATATTAACAGACATAAAGAGAGAAACTGACAACAATACAATAACATAGGGGACTTTAACACCTCACTTACATCTATATACAGATCATCTAGATAGGAAATCAACAAGGCAACAGTGGTCTTAAATGACACAATACCAGTTGGGCTTAATAGATATATATGTATACAGGACATTCCATCCAAAAACAGCAGAATACACGTTCTTTTAAAGTGCACACAGATTGTTCTCCAGGATAGGTCACATGCCAGGCCACAAAACAAGTCTCAACAAATTTAAGAGGATAGAAATTATATCAAGCATTTTTTCCAACCACAGAAGTATGAAACTAGAAATCAGCTACAGAAAGAAAAATGGGGAAAGCACAAATCCACAGAGACTAAACAACATGCTACTAAAAAACTAATGAGTCAACAAAGAAATCAAAAAGGAAATCAGAAAAAAACCCTGAACAAATGAAAATGAAAACACAACTTTCCAAAATCTATGGGATGCAGCAAAAGCAGTTCTAAGAGGGAAGTTTATAGCAATACAGGCCTCAAGAAACAAGAAAAATCTCAAATAAACAACCTAACCTTCCATCTAAAGAAATTAGAGGGCTTCCCTGGTGGCTCAGTGGTTGAGAGTCCGCCTGCCAATGCAGGGGACGCGGGTTTGTGCCCCGGTCCGGGAAGATCCCACATGCTGTGGAGCGGCTGGGCCCGTGGGCCATGGCTGCTGAGCCTGCGTGTCCGGAGCCTGTGCTCTGCAACGGGAGAGGCCACAGCAGTGAGAGGCCCGCGTACCGCAAAAAAAAAAAAAGAAAAAAAGAAATTAGAAAAAGCAGAACAAACAAAGCCCAAAGTCAGCAGAAGGAAGGAAATAATAAAGATCAGAGAGGAAATAAATAAAATAGATACCAAAAAGTATTAGAAAAATCAATGAAACCAAGAGGTGGTTTTTTGAAAAAGTAAACAAAATTGATAAACCTTTAGCTAGGCTCATTAAGAAGAAAAGAGAGAAGACCCAAATAAACAAAGTAAGAAATGAAAGAGGAGAAATAACAACTGATACCACAGCGATACAATAAATCATAAAAGAATACTATAAACAGTCATATGCCAACAAATTGGACAACCTAGAGGAAATGGACACATTTCTAGAAATGTACAGCCTGCCAAGACTGAGTCAGGAAAAAAAGACAACATGAACAGACGTAAGATTGAAATTGTAATAAAAAAAATCTCTCAGCAAACCAAAGTCCAGGATGGGATGGCTTCACAGAGGAATTCTACCGAACATATAAATAAGAGCTAACACCTTTCCTTCTCAAAATATTCCCCTCTAAAATTGTAGAGGATGGAACACTCCCAAATTCATTTTATGAGATCACCATTACCCTGATACCAGATAAAGATACAAAAAAAAAGATTACAGGCCAATATCTCTGATGAATATAGACACAAAAATCCTCAACAAAATATTAGCAAATCAAA